CCCTATATAACCCCCCAGGCGTACACACTCCCTCACTGCCTGGCCCTTGCGGCTCACACTCACATGCCTCCCCTCCCCAGGCCGAGGCTCAGCTGACCCCCCGGGGCTCCCCTGGCAGCGGACAGGGAAGGGTTAAAAGGCCCCTTGGCTCCCTGCCCCCTGCCCTGGGGAACCCCTGGCCTGTGGGGACATGAACTGTAAGTTGGTTCCAGTTCATGGGATGAGGGGACAGGGTGGAAGGGAAGGAGGGAAATATTGAGGGGAGTGGGGTGGGTGGGGAGCAGAAAGTAGGGACAGAGGAGAGGAGTCATGGGAAGCCAGACGGAGAAAGGATAGTCAAAGAAAGTGGGGAATTGGGGGAAGAGTTGGGCAATGAGAGGCACAGACAGAAAAAAAAGGGCAAATAGGCGCAGGGGGACAGGCCAGGTACAGACAGAGGAACAGATGTTGAGAGGGACTCCAGAAGGGCCCGGGGACCCCAGAGAGTCAGCGGGAATCGAAGGTCGAAGACAACCAGGAACTACAGCACAGAGAGACTCGGGGATGGAAACTGAGGCGTGCAGTCATAGATGATGAGAAAGTGCTAAAGGGCGGTCGCAGGTAGGTGTGGGGGGGGGGACGCACAGAGGTGCGGACAGAGAGCTCAGAGGAACCAGACAGATGCGCACGGGCTAGGGGACGGACGCACGGACAGACGGCAGGCCGAGGACGGGCGGGAGGACTGGACACAGCCAGAGGGGACCAGGGGGCGGGCTGGGGGTGTGATACAGGAGCTTGGCGGCTCGGGGGGCGCTGATTGGCTGGCTGTCTCGGGAGTGGGCGGGGCATCTGGGGGGATGGGCAGCCGGCAAAGGAGCTGTCCCCAGCCGCGGAGCCCCGAGCGGGGTTTCCAGCTGTGCGCGTCCTTTTGCGCCTCTCCGACCAGGTGCGCCTGGGTCATCCCCAGCCCTGCAGCTCAGCCTTTTCGGTCCCACCTTGATAGGCCTATGAGAGGGGGTCTAGGGCGCCTTCCTGAACAGGAATCGGTGTGTTCGCGTCTCAGTCCCAGCCCCTGGCTCCTTCCCCTGTTCCCAGGCCGGCTCGGGCTCCCGGGGCCGGGGAGGGGGCAGGTTCTGGCCTGTGCCTCCCCCCCTCATGCCCCGCCCCGGGGCCCAGATTCCGGCGTCCGGGGGCGGACGGGAGACGCCCGGCCCGTCTACCCGCCCCGGGCCGCGTCTGCTCCGACGGGCGGGGCAGCCAGAAGCCAGGGAGGGAGAGGGAAGCCCGCCCGGGCTCTGCGACCTGCCCCTGAGCGCCCCACCCTGAGACGCAAGACCTCCAGGTCCTCCTCCCTCGGATCCAGGCTTTCAGGCTCCAGCCCTCTTCCCTTATACCCCCAGTTCCAGGTTCCAGGTCTCCTCCCTCAGACCCGGGAGTCCAGACCTCAGCTCTCCTCCCTCATACCCAGAGTCCAGGCCTCACCCATCCTCCTTCAGACCCTGAAGTTCAGACCTCAGCCCTCGCCCCTTAGACCCAGAAATCTGTACCCCAGCATTATTCATCCCTCTGTCCCAGGTTCTAGGCTCCAGCACTCCTCCCTAAGACCCCTACTCCCTCAGGCCCAGAGCCTGGCCTAATCCCTCTCTTCTCTCTCTTCCTCCCTCCTGTCTCCAGGTGTTTGTGGCCTGGTCCTGGTGGTGCTGAGCCTCTGGCCAGATAGAGCTGTTGCCCCTGGACCGCCATCTGGCTACCCTCGAGCCTCTCCAGATCCTCGGGCAGAACTGGACAGTGCAGTACTTCTAACCCGCTCCCTCTTGGCAGACACTCGGCAACTGGCTGCACAGCTGGTAGGATAGTGCAGGGACTAGGCTGGGGTTGCATAGGATGACAAGGGAGGCTCCTGAAGGGATCTCAGTTGTCCAGGGTGGCAGAGAGGAAGGGGTGAGCTTGGGGTTCCCCTCACAACTTCTTTCTCACCAGAGAGACAAATTCCCAGCAGACGGGGACCACAACCTGGACTCCCTACCCACCTTGGCCATGAGTGCTGGGACATTGGGAACCCTGCAGGTGAGGGCTGGTGGGTGGTTCTGGGCAAGGTAGGTGGGCAGAGGAAAGGCTGGGGAATTGGAAGCTCAGGAAGACATGGGTCAGCTGTTCCTTAATTCTCCATCCTGGTCCCTAGCTTCCAGGTGTACTGACAAGGCTTCGAGTAGACCTACTCTCCTACCTTCGGCATGTACAGTGGCTGCGTCGAGCAGGTGGTCCTTCCCTTAAGACCTTGGAACCAGAACTGGGTGCCCTGCAAGCCCGGCTGGACCGGCTATTGCGCCGTCTGCAGCTCTTGGTATGTCCTGACTCCAATACCTTTCACCTCCAACTCTGACCCCTGTGACCCCAAGAACCTGTGGCCTGAGACTTTGATTGTTAACACCCAAGGATCTCAGACTGACCCTGGAAACATAACCCCACCCCCAATCTGATCCCTACTCTGATTCCTGAAACTGAGATGCCCAAGACCCTGAGGTCCTCTGAATCCTTTCCAGAAACACCCCCCAAGGCCACAAGCCATCATAGTGACCCTAGATCCTGATGTCCTGTCTGAAAGTCTAGACTTTGCCTTGAGTCCTGAGATCCTGAAACCCCAAACCCCTGAGGCCCAAGAATCCAAATCTTCCCATGAGATTTAGAGGCCTGGACCATATGACACCTAGAACTATGAACCTCTAACTCCTGAAGCCCCAGATCTGAGCCCTGAGGTCCTTAAATCTCAAGGACTGGGCCCTAGATTCTAAGATTAAGGCCAGCCTGGTCTACATAATGAGTTACAGGCTAGCCATGGGTACATAGCAAGAGCCAGTCTCAAAAATATAAAAATACAAACAAAAAACCACACATGACTTTTCCCAATATTTGGAAGGTAGAGACAGAAGGGTACTATAGTTCAAGGTCATCCTTGGCTAAATAGTGAGTTTGAGGCCAGCCTGTACGAGATCTTGTCTCAAAAACCCAAACAGAACCTAGACCTTGAGGTCTCAAGTCATCAGAACTCAGTCCCTGAATCTGATGTTATACTTCCAAGATCAAAAACATCAGATATTAGGAGTCTAAACAATCCCAAGACCCTAAGACTAAAAGACTTTGGACTTTGGTTTCTGACTCCAAAGACCCTAGTCCTCAAATTCTTGCTCCTAGCTTCAAAGCTCCAAACTTAAGACCTCAGTCATCACTCATGGTCCCTGAATTGACCCTGGAGAAGTCACATTGAAGACTTTGGCTCTGGGAGCCTGGGCCTGACTCCAGGCTTTAAGCCCCAGGCTCCAAACATAGTCCCTAGACTCTTAGCTCTAAGACTCTAGACCTGACCACTCAGAGAGGACCTGGCAAATACCAGGATCCCAGCCTTCATCTCCTAGCCCATAATGTGTCCCAGGAGGCCCACCCTTTGGACAGCAACTTGTGTGTGTGTGTGTGTGTGTGTGTGTGTGTGTGTGTGTGTTATTCATGTTGTATACCTGGAGACCAGAGATCAACACTGGGTATCTTCCTTCTTCCTGGATCAATCTCTCTCCATCTTCTTTATTTTTTTTTACTTTATTCATTATTTTTATTTTATGTGTATGAGTGTATTGCCTGCATGTGTGCAGGTGTACCTGTGTCATGCAATGCCCACAAAGGTCAGAAGGAGGGCATCAGATCTCCTGGAACTGGAGCTAGGGACAGTTGTTAGCTATCATGTGGGTGCTGGAAACTGAGCTCATGTCCTCTGCAAGAGCAGCCAGTGCTCTTAACTGTTAAATCGTCTCCCAGCCCCCATCTTATTTTTTTGAGAGATGGTCTTCTCACTGAAGCTGGAGCTCATCAATTCAGCAAGCCCCCAGGATCCTTCTGTCTCCACTTCACCAGCACTGGGATTTCAGGCATACCTTTCTGTGCCCAGCTTTCTTTCTTTCTTTCTTTCTTTCTTTCTTTCTTTCTTTCTTTCTTTCTTTCTTTCTTTCTTTCTTTCTTCTTTTTTTTTTAACATGGGTCCTGGGATTCTGAACTCACGTCCTCATGACTTCCCAGCAAGCACTTTATTGCTCCACCTTCCCAGCCCCAAGCATTCTTAAAAAAAAAAAAAAAAAAGAAATGAGGCAAGGTCTCATGTAGCCCAGGTTGGCCTTGAACTCCTGATCTTCCTACCTCTACCTCTCAAAAGCAGATTATAAGTGTGAACTGCCACACCCAGCCCAGCCTCAGTTTTCTGAACCCAAGATGCTGAAGGGCTCCCAGCCCAGATACATCACCCCATATCACAGATACTGCAACTGAGCAGCTCAAACTACCTCTCAAAACCCCTTGCCTTTTGCTAACCTTGTTCTTTCCCTCACAGATGTCTCGTCTGGCCCTGCCCCAGGCACCCTCAGAACATCCGGTGGCCCCCCTGGGTGCCCCTGTCTCAGCCTGGGGAAGCATCCGGGCAGCTCATGCCATCTTAGGAGGGTTGCACCTGACCTTGGACTGGGCTGTTCGGGGGCTGATGCTGTTGAAGACTCGGCTGTGACTTGGGACTCAAAGTCTCCATCGACATCATCTTTTAAAGCCAGATCTTATTTATTTATTTATTTTGGTACTTAGGGGTAGGTCGTGATTGGGTCAGGGGCATGCCACTCCCCAATCTACCCCCCACCCAGCTAGATACAGTCCCTTCAGGAAACTGGGGTGGATGAGGAACCTTTGCCTTATTTATACTTATTTATTTCAGGAGTGGGGGTGGGTGGGAGGCGGGTGGATCTGAGTCCCTGAGGAGTAGGGAACTGGGATCCTGGATTCTTGGATCTCTAAGAAATCATCCACAGTGTCTTCCTAGCTTCCTACATTTATTATTTATTAAACAGTCACTTTTTACGTTAGAATGGGGAGGGAAGAGAAAAAGAAGACTGGGGTTTTAAGCAAAAATGTGAGAAACTTTTGTGAGACAGAGAAGGGGAATTTAAATCTGACATACATATCTACTTAAGGGGTGATCGCTGGGACAGCTGGGGCAAGAGGTCCTGAGTGGACAGAACAGGGGCAACAGACTGATTGTTGGTGGCTCAGGTAACTCTGTGGTGCAGGATCTGAATAGCTTGACCTGGCACCCAACACTTCGTAGGTCCTCAACAAATATTTAAAAGAAAATTCCAGAATGTCACTTTATGACTAATAGCACCTACATGGTATGAAGCTGCAAAGTTCAAGGTTGTTTGGCGATGTTCATTATAGCAAATTGGAAACAACCTAGGTGTCCAACAGTGGGGGATGGAGGTATAAAACAGGATGCATCCAAATAGTGGAATACCAGATAGTCATAAAAAAGGGAAGCTCCTTGGGCATCGAAATTTCCTGTGACACGAAAACAACAGACAGCAGAACAACTGTGTGACCCCAATTTATTTTTAACTTTATATATATATATATATATATATATATAAATCCTACAGGGAAGGACACCAAAATGTTGATAATGCCCGTCTCAGGATTGAAGACGTGAGATGGGATTGTGGGTGACTTTTATTGTTTGTGCTTGTATTTTCCTTAGTTTCTACCGTGACTGTATTTTGCATGACACATTTAAAAACAATAATAAACACTATTTTTAGAATTACAGAATGCCATTCTCTACCACCACACACACTCAAGAAAAAAACACCTCAGAAGTGAACAAGGAGGATCATTAGTTACTTGAACCTCTGCCCTGGGCCATGCTGAGTGTGGCTTTTTTACCTACAGAATTGTCTCAGATCCTCAAAAGATGCCCTGTTTTACAGATGAAGAAAACTGAGGCTTAGATGGGCGGATTTGATTTCTGTTAATTATGGTCATACAGTCAGGGAGTGATGGCATTGTGATTCTTCTCTGTGTTGGCCTCATTGTGTTATAGTCTGGAATTGATCCCAGGGTCTTGCACATGCTAGGCAAGCACTCTATAGCTGAATTACATCCTCAGCCATTGGTTTGGGACAGGTTCTCATTTTGTAGCCCAGCTGGCCTCAAACTTAAGATCCCCCTTCCTCCACATCTCTAGTGCTGGGATTATAGTTGCATTCTCATGCCTTGCTATGGTGTCTCTCTTTTCAGTTGAGTGTTCAGTTGATGTGGTCCATGCACATGACCCACTGGGAAACTAAGGTATAGGGTTTAGTCTAGAGTTAGTACTGTGATTCAATCCTTTCCATTAACAGTTCCTGTACAGGAACTAACTGTAACTAAGACCCTAGGGAGTGGGGGAAATCTGTGTTGTCATAATCTTGGATCTAGGAGATGGTGCCCACCTGAATATGGGCTTCTGATTTACCCATCCCAGACTTCAAGACTCCAGGCCATATCCCAGAAGAATGAGGCCCCTGGATGGTTCCCAGGAAGAGACCCCTGGGTGTCTAGTGAGGTCACAAAGCCCCCACCAAGGGTTCCTCCCTCGGCCCACTGCTGTCCACCTCTCTGCAGGGCCATGGCCATACCAGAGTTTCTCGGCCCTGGGGATACTCCATTTTCTGTCATAGCTGTGCTCCTAGCATCCTTGAAGCTCAAGGGCCCAAGGCTGGTGGGATGGGGTTGGGGACAGGGCTCCACTTGGGTCTTGGATCCCTGAATCCATAGCCCCACCCACTGCTCTGACAGCCATCATGAAATGGTTTTGGAACACTGGTCATGCCCAGCCTCCCCAAGGGCCCCAGAAGTGGGTTCCCATTCTGGGAGAGCTGCAGAAGACCCTTCAGAAGGGGGAGTACCTGCCCCTCCATCCGCTGCCCATGTTCGAGAGTAACTTTGTCCAGGTCCCCTGCTCTCTGTGCCTGGGGTTGGGTGGGGGTGACTGAGACAGGAGGAGAGAGGGACCCCCCGGGCCAAAAGGGTTTATAGCAGGGAGCAGTGCTGAGATCTCTGTAGACAGGAAAGAAAGGAGACCTCAGACTGGGAGATGCCAGAGGCATGTTAGAGAAAGGACGGGTCCCAGCCCTGCTCTGGCCACCCCAGGTGACCAACCTCAGGAGTCCTGCATTTGTGCATCACAGAACCAACAGGCTGACAATGGGTGTCGCTGCTTCCTTGCCTGGTCTGGTGCTGCCTGACATTCTTCTGATAGCTCAGCCCCCTGATGGCTGGGCCTCCTCCAATCTCATCCTCACCAGGTACCCTCCTCACCCTCTATCCCAGGTCACTCCATTCTGCCCCACCTCAGCTGCTAGCCACCCCATGTCCCACTACCCCCAGGATGATCCCACTAGATCTTGTCCACCTCTATATCCATGACCTGTGCCACCGTCGTCTGAAGTTGCGCCTGGTCACTGGGCGCTACTATTACCTGGAGCTGGATGCCCCGGAACAGGAGACAAGCTTCTTGTTCAACTGCTGGATCCACCTCATCAACCTGCTCCACCAGCCTAGCTTCTCCTGGGCACCCAGGACCATGTCCATGACCCCCCTGGGGGCACCCCTGGGCATAGCGCCTGCCTCCACCTGGCACCTCCAGGTAGGAACCCAGTGTTGCAGAGCACTATCCAGACAGGGAACAAAGGATCCACAGCCCAAAGCCTAAAAGTGCTGGGTCCTGGACTGCTGGGTCTGACCTCATGGGTCTAAGGAAGGAGATCTGGGGATGAGGCTGCTGACTGGAGAGGTAGCAGAGACATAGAAACTGTGGGACATCGGGGAAAGCTCAGTCAAAAAGAACTTTTGAGCATGAGGATCTGAGTTCAATCCCCCAGAACCCACACACACGTGCTCGGTGTGGAGGCACGTCCTTGTACCCCTTCTGGGGAAGCAGAAACAGATGAATCTCTGGGGCTTGTCTAACCTACTTGGTGAGTTCCAGGCCAATGAGAAACCCTGCCTCAGAGGGAAAAAAAAGGCAGATAGCTGGTTCTGAGGATGTCCTCTAATCTACAGACACACACACACACACACACACACACACACACACACACATATCCTCTAATCTACAGACACACACACACACACACACACACACACACACAATGAAATCAGAATAAGTGGCAGGGGTTGGTGACACATATTTGCACTCCCCAACACTTGGGAGACAAAGGCAGGTGAGTTGTTTCAATTTGAGATCAGTCTGGTCTATACAGTGAGACACCATCTCACAAAAACAAAACGAGGCTTTTGGGGCTCACTAACCCACTCTTTAAAAACCTCTTTTAACATTTTTTAATGTATATGAGTTTTTGCGTGCTAGTGTGTAAGTGCACCCATGTGTGTGATGCCCCCAGATGCCAGAAAAGAACATTGGATACCCTGGAACCTTCATGTGGGTGCTGGGACTCAAACTCTGGTGGGTTTTTTTTGTTTGTTTTTGTTTTTGTGTGTGTGTGTGTGTGTGTGTGTGTGTGTGTGTGTCTCTTTTTTGGGGCTGTTCTTTTTTTTTTTTTTTTTTTTTTTTTTTTTGAGACAGGGTCTCCCTGTAGTCCCAGCTGTCTTGGAACTCACTATGTAGACCAGGCTGGCCTTGAACTCACAGAGATCCACCTGCCTCTGCCTCCCAAGTGCTGGGACTACAGGTGTGTGCCACCACACCCAGGTCCGCCCCTAACATTTTTTAAACATTTATTTTATTTATTTACTCATTTGCACGTGTGTGTGTGTGTGTACATCCCCCATATGCTTGGGAGTTGGTTTTCTAATTCCAGCCTGTGGGTGTTGGGGATCAAACTCAGGTCTTCAGGTTTGGCATCAAGCACCTTTACCTACTGAGCTATCTAGCCACTTCCCAGACTTCAATGCCATTCTTGGGAGTAATTTCTGTTTCCTAATAAACTGTGCTTATTTCTATTTCTTTTTAAAAACAAATGTGTAGGGGGAGGAGTCAGGCGTGATGACATATGCCTTTAATTCTAGCATTTGGGGCGGGGAGGCAAGGGGATATCTGTGAGTTGATGACCAACCTGGTCTACATAATAAGTTACTGACCAATCTGGTCTACACAGTGAGACCCTGCCTCAAAACTTAATAAATAATTAATTAATTTTAAAAAAAGGTTTAATTTCTTATGTTTGTAATTCCCCAGATGGGAGGCTAAAGCAGGAGGATCACAGGGAATGAGAGGCCAGCCCAGGCTACATAGTGAGTTTGAGGCCATCATAAGCTATGTAGAGTGAGAAACTGTCAAAAAAAGGAGGGGCTGGAGAGATAGCCCAGTCATTAAAGTGTGAGACTCTGAATTGGATCCCCAGAACCCACCTAAAAATGCTAGGCATAAGCCAGTGAGCTGGCTCAGTGGGTAAAATGATGCCTCCAAGTTGATGATCCGAGTTCAATCTCTGGGTCTCACATGATGGAAGGAGAGACCCAACTCCCAAAAATTTTCCCCTAACCTTTACACATGTGCCATGACACACATACAGCAACCCCCCAAATAAACAAATGTAATAAAAATTTAAGGGAATAACTCGGCAGTTAAGCACATATACTGTCTCGCAGAGGACCCAAGTTAGATTCCTAGCATCCACATCAGGTGGCTCACAACTGCCTGGAACTCCAGCTCCAGGGGACCTGATGGCTCTGCCCTCTCCCAGCACCCCCATGCATGTGTACACACACACAATCATCTATCTATCTATCTATCTATCTATCTATCTATCTATCTATCTATCATCTATCTACTTACCTATCTCTCATCTATCTATCATCTATATCATCTATCTATCATCTATCTATCTATCCTTTTTGAGACAGGGTCTCCCTGTAGCCCAAGCTGGCCTGGAACTCCCAGAGATCTCCCTACCTCTGCCTCCTGAGTGCTGGGATCAAAGGCAGGTCCACATCAGGGTCCATACACACATAATTTTTTAAAAAATTTAATTCTGGGTGGCACATTATCAATCCCAGTGCTGGGGAGGCAGAGACAGAAGGTTCCATGGGGCAGACTGATCAGCCAGCCTAGTCTAATTGGTGCTCTTCAGGTCATTGAGAGACTGTCTCAAAGGAAGTGGACAACCTTCTTGAGAATAACAACCAAAGGTCATCCACTGACTACATGTGCACACATGTGCACCTCCACACACGTGCATGCGTGCACACACACACACACACACACACACACACACATGCAACACACATTAAAGAAGAAATAAACCAGTGAAAGTTTTTTGTAAACTCTCCCCCTTTGTCCACAGGACCAGAATCAGTGCAGACTTGCAGGTGAGCCATCTCTGCCATTTGCTGGGTCACCTTCCTCTGTGTCAGGTACTCTCTCTCAAAGTGTGGCTGGAGCTCCAACACTTGGTCAGGATCTGCTGCGCCCTGTGGCTGAATTCTTCATGTCCTCAGGATCTGTCCCCGTGACAGACCCTGTGAAGTCCCTGACTCTTCTTTCTCTGCCTCTCTCCACAGTTGATGTTGCTGAGCACACCTTTCCTTATAAAAGGCGTACTTCTCCAAAGCAAAAGAAGGTCAAGGTAAGGCAGCCAAGGGCACGGGGTGTGGAGGTAAGAGGGGCTGCCCTTCCTCTGACTACACCCTCCCTACCTGTGGCCAGACCCTCAAGCACAAGTTCAAGTCTCAGGCTGTGGGTGACTCTCTGCCTCTCATCTGGTCACAACGGGAGCCTCCTGTCCTTGAGAAAGCCACAGAAAAGAAGTAGGCAAGGGGGCTTTGCGGGTGGTGGGCTTTGGGAGCTTGGCTCAGATGTCACTCAAGTCCCACCATACTGCCCCTTCTAGGTCCCACTTAGATGCCTACCCCAAAAGATCCAACACTTTAATCCATGTTTCTGGTAAGACCAACCTCCACTCCCTCCCACCTTTGTGGACTTGCTGGTGGCTCTGACTGGTCCCTTCCGCAGAGGGCTCAGACTTCTTTCTGCCCTGCAGAGAAAGCCAGCATCACCATCCGCACCATCTTCAGCAACATTTCCAACATGGCGAACCAGGCACACTCTAGTTCAAAGGCCAGCTATGCTCTAGGGGTTGGGACTTGGACCCCAGGGTCTAAGGGCTGGGGCCTGGACCCCTGGGTCTGAGGGAGGAGGGCTGGGCCTGGACTCCTGGGTCTGAGGGAGGAGGGCTGGGCCTGGACTCCTGGGTCTGAGGGAGGAGGGCTGGGATCTGGACTCCTGGGTCTGAGGGAGGAGGGCTGGGCCTGGACTACTGGGTCTGAGGGAGGAGGGCTAGGAGACAGTATTCCCGAGCTTTGGGTTTCCCCTGGCGCTGACCATGCCCATCTCCATCAGACTACAGGTCGACAGATCTGATTTGGTGGAGACCACAGGCCAAGGAGGTTTGATTGAGACCCCTACATGGTGTATCTCTGATGGGAGCCATGATTTTCCCCTCATGAGCTCCTTCAGTCAGACAGACCCCTTCCTGTGGCGGAAAGAGTTTGAAGATCTCCTAGACACCACACCCACCACTCTGTCGTCCTCCTTGCACACGTCTCCTTACTCTTCTACCTTCTACCTCTTTCCACCCACTCCCTCCTTCCCCAAATCCAGTGGCAAGGTCAGGCCCAAGGACTCAATCAAATATCAGAGACTATGCCCCTCCCAGAAAACCACACCTGCGCTCCCTGTCACATCAGAGAAAACACCGTTTATCTTGGACCAGTCTCAAAGGATATCAGCTGTACCTACTCCAGCCCAGAAGGCCCCAGCCACCCCTGCTCTATCTTGGAGGGTCCCAGCCACACTTTGATCAACCCAGAAGGCCTCAGCCATACCCAGCCTCGCTCATAAGCCTCTAGCTATATCAGGTGTGCCCCAGAAGACCCCAGTCACCCCTGAATCTTCCTGGAAGGCTGCAGTTCGACTTGCTCCATGCCAAAAGACTCTATCCCCAATTCAGAAGCTTCCACCTGTGCCTGCTGTTCCCCAGAAAGCCATGTCCCTAAGGAAGGACTTTCTGGTCCCAAGTACCCCATTCCAGAAGGCTCCAACCTCAACTGCCCAGTGTCAGGAAGCACTCAGCTCACCCACCTTGCAGGCAAAGGCAACAGATCTGAGCCTGCCACCGGCTGGGAGGGTGCTTGAGAAAAGAAAGTCTGAAAGGAAACAGGAACCTGTGCTGTTGATGGGAGGCCAGAAGACAAAAATGATAGACATGAGGACGCAGGCTGTAACTCTGCAGTTGCCTTTCACCACCACTAAGAAGGAATCCAAGGAGATCCTGATTGGCAGAACCCAGGAGGTCACCTGGGAGGCCTTGAAGGGCAGGGAGAAGCATGAAAACCGGGCCTACAAGATGAAGGAGGAGATAATGGTGGACATGCCTGGTATGAAATCCAAGGAGATAGGGAAGCAGAAGAAATGGATCGTGACCAAGGACCTGGCTGTCGAGGGTCCCCATATGGAGGACAAAAGTCCCTTCTCTGTGGAGGGGCTCACCCCAGCCAAGATGATGATCATGGCTAACTCCCCAAACCAGCAACTGAAACCAGCTGCCATCTCACTGCCCTCCTGGTTCTCTATGACTTCCAAGACATCCTCCATGTCTATGTTGAGCAAAGTGCCTTATAACCCCAACCAGATGCCCTTGCTGGAGGGGACACCTATGGTAGTCAGGGAGCCACCAGAGACCCGCACTTTGGTGAAGGAAAAGAGCATACAGCCACAGGTAGAGAGCAAGCCATCTAGGGACTCACTGGTGCCTGCCAATGTGTCCCCCAGATCCTCATCTGAGACTCACAGTTCAAAGACAAAGACATTTGCTATCAGCCAGGCTCCCATCCCCCTACCTGCCACACGTTGGGAGGATTTGTCACAGCAGCCTACAACCCTCTCAACAACCCCCATTTCCAATACAGGGGTCTCAGCCAACGAGTCCCCAAAACCGGGGAAGAAACCTCAAGGGTCTAAAAAGGCACCCAAACAGCAGCATCCTCTGACCATGTCAGAGGGACCATCAGAAATTCCCCAGTCCGTGATCTTGGAAATAGAGGAGAAGAGGAACAGGATCACTAAAGCTGAGATGCCCATGAATCAATCTGGATCCCATCACCTTTCACCCAGGTATTTGGGATTAGCAGCTAGAGTGCACTGTCAATTCCATTGTGTAAAAATATATATTGGGAGAGAGCTCTGGGTCTTGAAGCCAGGGCATTGTATATGTTAAGCACACACTTTAACACTGAGTTAATCCTTGACTGATGGAGGACACATGGAATGTTGACTGTATGGCAGGTGTTGTTCTAGGCAGCCAGGACATATCGCCCAATAGCAACTGGTATGTGCTGCTTGGCATCTAGTGGCTAGGGATAACGCATGGTGCTAAAGATCTACAATGCACAGAACAGTCCCCACCACAATACAGGTGGCCTGAGGAGGTCTCAGAGACTCCTTAGGACCAGTCTCACAGGGTACCAGCTGTACCTGCTCCAGTCCAGAAGGCCCCAGATCCTCTTGCTCCATCTCAGAAGGCCCCAGCTGCACCATGGTCAACCCAGAAGGCCTCAGTCATAGTTAGGCATTTTCTATAAGCCTCTACCTAAATCATTTGTTTCCCCAGCCATCCCTAGATCCTCCCAGAAGGCCCCAGTTTTTCTTGCCAGAAGATTTTTACCCCCAATTCAGAAGTTTGCGCCTGTACCTGTTGTTTGTGCAAAGGCATGGAAGGTGTTTGGGGGTGGGGATGTAGCTCAGATGATAGAATGCTTGACTAGCACACAGAGTTCTGGGTTTGATCCCCTAGCACTGAATAAAACTAGGTGTGATGATGCATGCTGATAATACTAGCAGTCAGGGGGTAGGGCAAGGAGGATCAGGGGTTCAAGACCAGTCTTGGATACATAGTGAGTAGGAGACCACCCTGGCTATATGAAATGAAATGAAAAGGGGCTGGAGAGATGGCTCAGCAGTTAAGAGCACTGCCTGCTCTTCCAGAGGACAAGGGTTCGGTTCCTAGCACCCACATGGCGGCTAACACCCATCCTTAACTCCCGTTCCAGGGGATCTGACACCCTCTTCAGGCCTCCTTGGGCATTGATTACACAACATGGGTGTACTTACATACATTCTGACAAAACACTCATACACATAAAATAAAAACAAAATATTTTAAAATTTTTTAAATGAATTAAAACAAAATAAAAAGACCAGTGGGAGGGAGGAAGCAAAAGAACATTTTGGGGAGAAGAGTCCCTGCAGACAAAACAGCCACTGCAAAGCCCCTGAGGCAGGAGCCTGTGTGCTGTTCTATTCCCCGACTCATATCTGGTGTAGGATACCAAGCTAGAGCAGCCATTGGAGAATCCATCACAGAGGAATTACAGACAAGTTTAAGGACTCTGGCTTTGACCCTGAGCAAGCTGGCATGTTAGGGCCAGAAGAATAGCAAGAATAGATTTATGTGGAAAGAGCTCTCTTGGTTGGGGTTGTGTGGGAACAAGGTTGGAATCTGGGAGGGCGTTTGTGCAGTCACCCCTGTAGGAGATGACGGTGGCTTGGACAAGAGGGGAGGGAGGTGTTGAGAGGCCTGGGTCTCTGCAGATAATCTGAAGTGAACACTTAATGGACTGCTTCATCAGTCGGGTATGGGATGCTCGGGAAGTACTTTTCTCATTGCTGTGACAAAATCTCTAGAGAAAGCAACTTAAGAAAAGAAGAGTTTATGCTGACTCACAGTTTGAGGGTACAGTATGTCATGATGGGGAAATCCCCTTGCTTCTTTTTGTGTGTATGTGTGGAGGTGTGGCTTAACCATGTGAGTACGTATGGACTCCCTTCCTTCCTTCCTTCCTTCCTTCCTTCCTTCCTTCCTTCCTTCCTTCCTTCCTTCCCTCCCTCCCTCCCTCCCTCCCTCCCTCCTTCCTTCCT